CCTATTCAAAATATCCCTACTAATGATATTTGTAATCTCGAAACCGCGCGACCTCATCTGCCCATCGAATCTTAACATAAACTTCCCAATTCCCAAAGGACCTACCAATATTTAAAGACCTTTAAACCGCATGACCTCAGCTGCCCATAGAATCACATGTTAAGAACTATAATATAAGTCAGATCTTGCCACATCTCATCATACTATCAGAGACCTGATCACGATGAACACTTCAAGTTTTCTGCACCTTGTTTCTCCACACATGGAACTGAGCGATAGTTTATCGTCTTCAAACTTTGACCTTTTGCAAAGTTCACCCGAGTCCAAATCTACCTCTGGTGATTCTCTGATTCTTCAAATCAACCAATATGTTACGTGATGGAAATATTACTAATGTACACCACATATTGGAATAACAAGCACGGTGTTGAAAGAAGTGGCCTGTCGGAGGAAGGAAGTGCGGAAGACCAGACGGTTTGGCGGTCGCAGGTCCGAGACGCCCTTCGCGAGGAGGAGGCTGGTCTTTGAGGCGGAGAGAGAGGAGTAATCTTTTGCATATTTTTATTTATTACCACAACAAAAATAAACGTATATATCAGTATTTCCTGTTTCGTCTTCTCCCAATAAACATGCTTAAAGAAGCAATGCATTAAAAGGGAAATTGCAAATGAATATAATGAAAACAAAGAATCAAACGCAAACATACACACACACACAGAGTTGATTTCCTCGCCAGACTTCGACCTTTTACCAGCTTCACCTCATGCAGAATCCATCTCTTGACAGAAATTCTTTAGTTCCCTTTTCTAAAACAAGGACCTAAAAAGATTCTATTATTAGGCAGAACGAGTCACCTCGATGCAATCAGTGTAATTAAAAATCCACTCTATATTGTTCACAATGCACTATTATAAAAATGAAGCGCTTCGTTAATTGTGACACAATTATTCTACTGCATACTATCATTCATTGGTCTTAGCAGATAATGCACAATGCTGTTAGAGCGACAATATTAATAGGAGAGAGATGAAATTAAGATGTTTAGCTCTAATTCCTTCCAGATACCAAGGATCGCCGAGACAGGCAAAAACAAATCGGCCCGCAAGGACATGGCATTTTGCTCGTCCTGACAGAGGCTCGGGCTAACCAATCCATCAAAATATGAAGTAAAGAAGTGAAGAGAGGGAGAGGGTGGAGAAGGTAGTGATGGAAATTTAAGATGAAGATTAAAAGTAGGGGGTGACAGCCCTTGTATTTTTCTTTCTTTTTTGTGTGTGTTATATGTTAGGATCGGCCAAGTGACACTTCTTGCGGTCATTAAGGAACGGATCGCCCGGGTAGATTATCTTCGCCTGCTGGACGGCCGACACGTACCTGTTCGTCAATCACACTTATTCGCGTGTGTCCCTGCAGATACAATACAGATACAGACACTAATAAATGACTTAGGAATGGATAATACGGCACCTGGATTATGAACGGGACTTAAAGTAACTGGGCTAAACAACTTTTGAGGTGATTTTTACAAAAGTGTAGTGACAAAACAAAATGCGCGCGCACACATGTGCATACATTTGTGCATAAATACATATGAGCTCAAAGTACAAACACAGTATATGTACGCAAAGGTGAAAGGGAAAACAATCACAATAAGAAATTAAATCAAACCGTTTCGAAATCTATTTTTCTTAGAGATTTCACATTTGTTTCACAGGTAGCGTGGCCGAGCGGTCTAAGGCGCTGGTTTAAGGCACCAGTCTCTTCGGAGGCGTGGGTTCGAATCCCACCGCTGCCAAGCATTTTGGCACTGCACTGGAGCAGTGTCCGGCCCATGAGCAAGAGTTGGGAGGACGCCGCCTTCGCAAATCTCACTCAACTGGCCCAGCCAAGATACAGAGAGCTTAGAACTGACTGTACCTGTGTCCAGCTGACAGAAGCTCAAATGTCATGCGAAGGAATGCCTCGGGGGCATGAATAGCTATATTGTGCTGCCTTTAAAGGCGCAACGAATTATCTACAAGAATAACATTAGCAATGCACCAGTTCATAAAGAAAACTACAACATCAAGAAGTTCATCTCATTTACGGATCCCCTCTAATAGTTTAGAAGCAGGCTAACGTTCAAATCGGCATTACAGCACGAAGATTAAAGCATGAAGTTGATCCTGCTCTTGATTTCTTGGGATTGCACTATTTTAGTCTCTCTCAAGGTTCAGATATCTCAAGATCAATACCATAATTTCTGGATTCATGTTATTTTTCTATCATTAGGCAGACGAGCTACCTTGATGCAAGCAGTGTAATTAATCCACTCTATATTGTTCACAAAGCAGTTATAAAAATGAAGTGCTTCGTTGTGACCCAATCATTTTACTGTGTGTACTATCATTCACTGGTTTTAGCAGATACTGCACAATGCTGTGTGACAATATTAGCCTTATCTATTAGAAGTACAAATAACTGAAGTGAGATGAAACAGTATACAACAAAGAACCCGTCTATTTTCAGATGTTTAGCTCTAATTCCTTCTAGATATCAAGGATCGTCGGGACAGGCAAAAAGGAATCGGCCTGCAAAGACATGGTCTTTTGCGCGCTCTCATAGAGGCTCGGGCCAACCAATCCAGCAGAATATGAAGTAAAGAAGTGAAGAGAGGGAGAGGGTGGTGAAGGTAGTGATGAAAATGGAAAGTTAAATGGAAGTTAAAAAGTAAAAGTAGGGGCGACACCCAGTGTATGTTTTTTTTTTTTTTTTTTTTTTTTTCTTGTTAGAATCGGACCTAACGGTTATTAAGGTCCGG